GAGATTTCACTGCTTGATTCATTCAGCCACATCTGGGGGCAGAACCCAGCCCAAGCTCTGCTGTGGTTAAACCAAAAACTAACAATTGGGAGAATTTCCTGGCAAAAACAGGGGTGAAGATGCAGAATTTGGCACAGCCAGGGGCACAAACCCAGCTCAAATCCCAGAATGTGCCAGGCAGGGAACAGGAAATCCTTCCCTCCTGCACAAAAATGGTTTTTCACCACTTTTCTGGGTCAGAAACCAACCCAGATTTCCATCCCTGGAAAGCCCAATTGAGGCTGCAAACAACAGGCACAGGGATGTCACCCCCAGACTGATGCATTTTAAAATTACCACCAATATTTCCAAAAAGAACCAGAGATTTGGAGTATTTTAAACCTTGGGGTGCATCCAGCAGCTCTACAATGAGCACCTGCTGAGCATTTCTTTAGAAAACCAGGGGTGAAGATGCAGAATTTGGCACAGCCAGAGGCACAAACCCGGCTCAAATCCCAGTATTTGCAGGCAGGGAACAGGAAAACCTTCCATCCTACACAAAAGTCGTTTTTCAACACTGAGGATCCTCATGGGGGTCAGAAACAAACCCAGATTTCCATCCCTGGAAAGCCCAATTGAGGCTGCAATTCACAGTCACCCCCAGATTTCTGCATTTTAAAATTCCCACCAATATTTCCAAAAAGAACCAGAGATTTGGGGTATTTTAAGCTTTGGGGTGCATCCAGCAGCTCTACAATGAGCACCTGCTGAGCATTTCATTACAAAAACAGGGGTGAAGATGCAGAATTTGGCACAGCCAGAGGCACAAACCCAGCTCAAATCCCAGAATTTGCCAGGCAGGGAACAGGAAAACCTTCCATCCTACACAAAAGTGGTTTTTCAATACAGAGGATCCTCATGGGGGGCAGAAATCAACCCGGACTTCCAACCCTGGAAAGCCCCAATCGAGGCTGCAATTCACAGTCACCCCCAGATTTCTGCATTTTAAAATTACCACCAATATTTCCAAAAAGAATCAGAGATTTGGGATATTTTAAGCTTTGGGGTGTATCCAGCAACTCTACAATGAGCACCTGCTGAGCATTTCCTTAAAAAAACAGAGGTGAAGATGCAGAATCTGGCACAGCCAGAGGCACAAACCCAGCTCAAATCCCAGAATCTGCCAGGCAGGGAATGGGAAATCCTTCCCTCCTGCACAAAAGTGGGAAAAAAAAGTAGTTTCTTTTCTGGGTCAGAAACCAACCCAGATTTCCATCTTTGGAAAGTCCAATCGGGACTGCAAACAACAATCACCCCCAGATTTATGCATTTTAAAATTACCACCAATATTTCCAAAAAGAATCAGAGATTTGGGGTATTTTAAACTTTGGGGTGCATCCTCTACAGTGAGCACCTGCTGAGCATTTCCTTACAAAAAAAGAGTGAAGATGCAGAATTTGGCATCTTCAAATTCTGCCAGAGGCACAAACCCCACTCAAACCCCAGAATTTGCCAGACAGGGAATAGGAAAACCTTCCCTCCTGCACAAAAGTGATTTTTCACCCCACAGAATCTTTGTGGGGGTCAGAAACCAACCCAGATTTCCATCTTTAGAAAGCCCAATCGGGGCTGCAATCACCAATCACCCCCAGACTGATTAATTTTAAAATTACCCCCAATATTTCCAAAAAGAACCAAAGATTTGGGGTATTTTAAACTTTGGGGTGCATCCAGCAGCTCTACAATGAGCACCTGCTGAGCAATTCATTACAACAAAGGGGTGAAGATGCAGAATTTGGCACAGCCAGAGGCACAAACCCAGCTCAAATCCCAGAATCTGCCAGGTAGGGAATAGGAAAACCTTCCCTCCTGCACAAAAGTGGGTTTTGACCCCACAGAACTCTCGTGGTGGCCAGAAACCAATCCAAATTTCCATCTTTGGAAAGCCCAATCGAGGCTGCAATCACCAATCATCTCCAGACTGATTCATTTTAAAATTACCACCAATATTTCCAAAAAGAACCAGAGATTTGGGGTATTTTAAACTTTGGGGTGCATCCTCTACAGTGAGCACCTGCTGAGCATTTCCTGGCAAAAAACGGGCGAAGATGCAGAATTTGGCACAGCCAGAGGCACAAACCCAGCTCAAATCCCAGAATCTGCCAGGCAGGGAATGGGAAATCCTTCCCTCCTGCACAAAAGTGATTTTTCACCACTTTTCTGGGTCAGAAACCAACCCAGATTTCCATCTTTTGAAAGCCCAATCGAGGCTGCAATCACCAATCACTCCCACACTGATTAATTTTAAAATTACCACCAATATTTCCAAAAAGAACCAGAGATTTGGGGTATTTTAAACTTTGGGGTGCATCCTCTACAATGAGCACCTGCTGAGCATTTCTTTAGAAAAACAGGGGTGAAGATGCAAAATTTGGCACAGCCAGAGGCACAAACCCAGCTCAAATCCCAGAATCTGCCAGGCAGGGAATGGGAAATCCTTCCCTCCTGCACAAAAGTGGGTTTTGACCTCACAGAACTCTCATGGTGGCCAAAAATCAACCCAGATTTCCATCTTTGGAAAGCCCAATCAGGGCTGCAATCACCAACCACCCCCAGACTGATTCATTTTAAAATTACCACCAATATTTCCCAAAAGAACAGAGATTTGGGGTATTTTAAACTCTGGGAGCACCTGCTGAAATCCCTGCACAGCCTCCTGGTGCTCTGCCTCCAGCCCAGGCTCNCCTCAGGATTTCTTCTCCCCCAGCTCTGCAGCATCTCCCTGGAGCAGTGCATCTCAGCTGCATCAGTGCCTGGCTGAGGATGGGCAGCAGAGTAAAAAAATCCCACAGAAGAACCCCAAAAACCCCAAAAAGGAACCTCCCAGGTCAGAGAAAGAACCACGGCAGCACAAGAACCTTGGAAACTTTTATTTGTGTTGCAAACCCACAAATTAACAGCTCCAGAATGGGAGCATTTCCTTACCAGAACAGGAATGGAGATGAAAACAATAAAAAAAAAGAAAAATACAGAAATGAAGATGTTTGTACCCAGATGCACAAACCCAGCTCAAATCCCATTGTCTACCAGACAAAGAACAGGACAACCTTCCCTCCTGCACCTGAACTGTTCTTATCACAAAAAAAAAATACTCAATATGAACTTGCTGTGCCCATCAGAATTCTAACCCAAAGCCCAATTATATCCAGGGATTTTTTTAAAACTTTTTTTTTTGAAGAATCCTACCAAAAATATGGTTGAATTATACAACAGGTACCATCACGACAGCAACCACTTTTTTTTTTTTTATTTTTTTTTTCACATTCTTGTCTGATGCTGGCAGGGAACATATTGCTGCACTTACAATCTCTGGAGAACGCTGCCTTTTCCTCATTAGCTTTTTTTATTTATTTTTTTTTTTTGCACAGCAATTAATCCCTTTAATCAGTCAAATCAGTTCAACGCTGGATCACAAAAGCACTAAGTAAAGAGAAAACAAGAAATTACCTTGTTAAATTTAATGAGCAAGGAGAAACAGACACTCCAAGGGCTGGAACACTCCAGCCTGGAAACATTTCATTGCCTGAGCAGCACCAGCAGCCCACGGAATCACAATCATTTTGTCTTTCATCTGAAAACTGCACAATGCAGCAGAGCAAGAAATCCTTTTTGGCTGCTGAAAATGTGCACGTGCAGAATAAAAATCATCATGGAACCGGTTTTATAAGGATGGCAGAGTAAAAACCATTAAAAAAAACATTAAAAAACAGTAAAAATCAGTTCAGTTCTGCAATGTTGACACTGCCTGTGCAGGCATCARTGGCATAAAAGAAGCATAAACCATATCAGAACACAGAGCATTCCATTTTTCTTCTGTCCTTGCTGCTGCTGTTAAAGAAAATCTGAATTTYACAGGTGTTAACGTGGCCAAAAAGGGCTGTAATTCACAGAGCAAGCAGGGGATGTACAGAACTCATCCACTTTGGGTTTTAATCGTGGAGGGAGCTCTCATCCAAAACAATTATCCTGTAGGGGAAGAAGAAAAAAAAAAGGGAAAAAATAAGGTTATGCTGTTTTTATTTATATCAAACTGCAAAGGTGGARGGAATGGGATTTGCCTGTTTTTTTGTGGAAAGCAGGAATGCAGCTTGTGCCACAATTCCAGCTGAATTCTCACCTGATGGGGGGAGTTGGAGGCTGCTGCTGCTGCTGGGGGCTGGATTTCTGATCCTTCTGGGGCTCCCTGTCTGGAAAACAGGGAAATTCAGCTCAGGACATGAAAGAAAGGCACAAAACACCCCAGAAAAAGTGGAGGAATAGAGATTTCACTGCTTGATTCATTCAGCCACATCTGGGGGCAGAACCCAGCCCCAGCTCTGCTGTGGTTAAACCAAAAACTAACAATTGGGAGAATTTCCTGGCAAAAACAGGGGTGAAGATGCAGAATTTGGCACAGCCAGAGGCACAAACCCAGCTCAAATCCCAGTATTTGCCAGGCATGGAATGGGAAATCCTTCCCTCCTGCACAAAAGTGGGTTTTCACCACTTTTCTGAGTCAGAAACCAACCCAGATTTCCATCTTTGGAAAGCCCCAATTGGGACTGCAATTCACAGTCACCCCCAGACTGATTAATTTTAAAATTACCACCAATATTTCCAAAAAGAATTAGAGATTTGGGGTATTTTAAACTCTGGGAGCACCTGCTGAAATCCCTGCACAGCCTCCTGGTGCTCTGCCTCCAGCCCAGGCTCTGCTCTCCTCCACTCCGTTCTTCTTTCCAGCATCCTCTGGATCCTGCAGGCCTGCAGCCCTTAAATGACAAAGTTTTGTGTATTACCCTCCTTTATTTATTTTTTTTTAATTTTGTTTTGGTTTGTTTTTTTTTTAAATTTTGTTTAAATTCTGGTGGCCAGCACAAGAATGAGGGGTGACTTACGACCCCTCGCTGAGGAACTGCTCAAAGTTACTGGGTTCTGATCTTTAGTTCTGAGARGAAAAAAAAATTATTTGGGATATGAATCATTTCCTTAAAATGATGMTTAAATGACCTCTGCCATGTTTGCAGCTTTCCTAATTCCCTGCCATGAAAGCAGAACCATTTCCACCAACTCTTCTTTATTAAGAGCTTGCACGATTCTGTTCTCTTCATKCACGTTTTGTACCTCAAAAATTTCCCCCGTTCTGTCAAATTATTTCTGATTTTTGTCAAGACCAAGCCTGTTGAAATATTTGCTTTCCACCTACAGGAAATGGCATTAACAAAATGTTTTTCTCCCTCTCACGTTGATGACTCCAGGCAAATTCCCCGACACTGCTCTCCCCAAGGAGTGCCAGCCCATTTTTTGAGCACTCTAACAAAAAAAAAAAACCTCCTGGAATACAAATTTAAACCAGCAGCTCACCCAAAATCGTGTCCCTGAGGTTGTTCTTGGATCTCCTCGTTTCCAGGAACCCCTTGGAGCATTCTTTCCAAAATATTGTCGAGACTGGAGTGAGCCCTGTTAAATTAAAGATTAAAAAAATGATGGTGACGAGGCTGAAAATTTCCAAATTAAACAGTCATAATTATCAGAGTATTTCAAGTTTTCTGCAAGCATTGAATCTTGTTAAAACATGCTGGAAAAATAAAAATTCTAAATCTTTGTAACTCCTCTTTTTTTCCATACCTTTCTGTATCCTCTGTCAGATTAAACGACTCCTTAGTCCATAAACTYTGATTTGTCATCTCAAATTCTCTTCCTGACTCTCTGTTCTCCACTTGAATTCCATCAGGAGCTATTCACATAAAACCAGCAAGATTTTAGCACCAAAGGAAGATAATAAAGACATTAAAATGTTGTTTTCTTTCCTGCATTTGGGAAATTTCCAATTGCCCATTTCTCCCTCACTCTTTTCCTCAGTGGCCTGATTTTTCCAGCAGTTAACCAAATTTCCATTATCTGCAGTCAAAGGTGGCCAGATAAATATTTCACTCAGACACATTTCCAAATTCACAGGGCTCAACATTTTGTTTCCCRCTGAAATAAAAAATTAATGCAACAAATGAATCTTTAATTTCTCCCCTTCCAATCCCAGATATGGGAGAGAAATCAGAAGGAAATCTGTGGATGTCAAAATCCAGGGATTTTTTTTTCCCTGGAATATTTACCAGCAAATATTTATCAGCAAATATTTAACAGAAATATTTATCCATATTTCCCTGAAATATTCATCCCTACAGAAATTAGGATTAGGGTTGGGGTTAGGATTGAGGGAATTAAAAATCCTACAATTCCAGGAGCAGTGGGGCTGGAAGAAGCATCCCATAAAAATCCCAACACTGCTGCTCCTACAACTTTCTGACCTGGAAATTCACGTGATGGGGTTTAATTTAGGCTCAGACTAAGTGGGAATATTTCAGCCCCTTCTGCTGGGCTGTGATAAGCAGGAGATTGTCCCCAAAAAAAAGGGGACTCTGAAATAGCTGTGCTCGATGCAAATTCAGCAACCTAAAACAAAAAATCTCCAGTGAAAAAAAGCCACAGGAGCTCCCATCCTTCAGGRAAAGATCTAAAAACTGCAGGAAAACCAAACACGTGCCAGCATCCTTCTTGAGTGACTGTGCTATTTAGCTTTTTACAGACTTTTTATTTCCTTTTTTTTTTTTTTACTTGCTTTATGACTCATTGGGGAAAAAAAAAAAAAAACCAACCAAAAAGCCCAGCCTGTAAACCTTTAAGTTTTCTGCTCCTCTGACATGACTTGTACTTTCAAAAATTATTCCCACTTAGCACCTTAGCAGCAGCACAAGAAATCACCACTCCTGCCTTTGTAACTAATTGGGAAAAAAAAACCCAACAAAAAAGCCCAGACTATAAACATTTATGTTTTCTGTTCCTCTCACACTTGCACATTTAAACATGATCCCCACTTAGCACCTTTGCAACAAGAATTCACTACTCCTGCCTTTATAACTCATTGGGAAAAAAAAAAAAAAAAAAAAAAAAAAAAAAAAAAAAATGCCCAGCCTGTAAACATTTAAGTTTTCTGCTCCTCATACATGACTTCTTGTACATTCAAAAATTATTCCCATTTAACACCTTTGCAACAAGAATTCACCACTCCTGCCTTTGTAACTCATTGGAAAAAAAAACCAAAAAACCAACAAAAAAGCCCAGAGTATAAACAAATTTTCTGCTCCTCTCACAGGACTTGTACATCTAAAAATTATTCCCACTTAGCACCTTTGCAA